GGCCAAATTGGTGATGTTGCGGGGAAAGTCACCCCCAATGAAAAGTATAATGACATCCTCAGAAATTTTAAAATTACATCATCACGACGTTTTTGTCGTAAAAGCATACCTACCTAGTGTAGGAATAAAGACTGAAAATGTTCCAATGTACGATTCGCACCATCATACTCGTACTGTCGCGCTTGCAATGTCGTTTTTTACATCTTTAATGACAACATTTGTTGTTGTTTTTTTGCTTTCCACCAGAACTTGACGTCAGGTATAGTTTTTTCCCACATTGTCTGTAAAACTGCACCTAAAATGAGGCTGAAGACGAGTTTTTTGAAAATAGTGACATCCTCGTACCTAAGACTTTTTTATACATCCTCCCCCTAACGCTAAACCAATTTGGTCACACTGTCATCATGTATATATCACAGAGACAGCCGGATCGTGATGTCCGGACCATCATATTGTGTGTTAATTATCGTACGCAGTATAACGCCCCCTTCTTCTCGTATTTTAAGATAAAGGGAAGCACTGTCGCATGATGACGCCATGACGCCAATCTGCATGCTATTTTGAACATCTAACTAATCACACGATGTGGACCATGTATTGCTGAGTTAAGTCCGCAGATTTAAACACCCAAACTGGCGACTCGAAGCTAAAATGCAGTCGTCACACACACTAGTTGAGCATATAAGCACAAAACATTTCGGGAACAGACGTTGAAAATACAAACTAGACGGTTTTCTACGCTTTATGTAGGCCCGGACTTTATCCAACGGGCGCACTAACCTGGTGTTCGGCTGACAATCGGTAACTACTGCCGACTCCCGCTGGCGGCCGACCACCTCAGGACACAGAGGAACATCGGCCAGAGACTCTGGGGGTGAGGGTGGACGGTCAGTTGCCGCCACAGGCCCGGAGAGGTGGCGAGTCCCCCCCCCCCACACACACACACACACACCCATAACGGTACACGGAGGTCGGAGGAACATCGGCCAGAGACTCTGGGGGTGAGGGTGGACGGTCAGGTGCCGCCCCCGGCCCGGAGAGGTGGCGAGTTCCCTTCCCCTTCCCCACATGCACACACACACACACAAACAACTATAACGGTACACAGAGGAACATCGGCCAGAGACTCTAGGGGGGGGGGGGGGTGAGAGTGGACAGTCAGGTGCCGCCCCCGGTAAGGAGAGAAAGACCCCTACCCGTCTGTCGCGACCGCAGCGTGCTGCCAGAATTACCGGGTCACCCCTACCACCCCCGCGAAGTGCAGATAGCAGTTGAGTTTGAATCATGGGTGGTTGTTGGTATGTGGTGAGATGACGTGCGTAGAGGATCAGACGGAGACGATTAGATAATCAAATGCTCCAGTGAAGCTCATTGCCAGAAATGCAGATCAAAATCAATATGGAGGCACGGAACGAAGACGTTTTCTGAGATGATCATATATTGCACCGTCGAGTTCTTCAAACTCTTGAGTTATATACGGACGAGCAAGACAAAAGGATGCCGGATAAAATGCTGTCCGGCGAAGGTCAGCTAAAGTTTTCGCACGTCGAGCAGAGGATGCGCAAACAACAATCGTCACAAATCACTCCACCACACGAGTTACGTTGACTGTACGGCGTGGCAAAAAGTTAACGAGACGCCTGTTTTACCGCGACGGTCCACACAAGCGTCTTAACCGTTGTCAACAATAAAACGTCGAAATAGACAGCACAACTGTATCTTGATGCGTTCTTCCTGACAACCATGCTATGAATATGGTTCTCCCGCGAAGATAGGTGCAGACAAATCGATAATTTCATCAGGACAAAATACAAGGCCACGACAATCAATGCTTTAAAGCCGGATGTCGGTTTCTCTGCGGTATGACAGGCAGAGAAGCCGACATGACAGGCTGTTTGCGTTTTGAACTCACCGACTGAGCTGGCGGCCAGGCTATCGGCGGTGCGAGGCAGCGACAGTGAGCTGCCGGCCAGGCTCTGCTCGCAACAGCTGCCCGAGTCGTCGGCCGGTGGCGGCAGCTCGCGCTCCGAGCCCAGCTGGAGCACCTCGCGCTGCAGGCGCCGCGCGGCCGCCTCGTGGCCAGCCGACACCAAACACACGTCACAGAAGGCGCGCGGCTGCACGTCCAGACGGTCGTACAGCCGGCCCTCTAGCGAGTTGAACAGCACGTCCAACGCTCGCGGCAGCAGGCCAGGCTCAGAGGGCGTTCCTGTCACCGGCGCATAGGCTCGTGTTAATACATTGCCAAGGGAGGCACGGTACTTCGCCTTCCCTCCGGCAGTTTTGCAATTAAAACTACCTATGTACGTTAGGTACTAAGATGCATCGCAGTACAATCTCGCAAGCCATATCCTTCATCAGCTTTTTGGTAGCATGGAAAAAATTGTCACATAACACAAAAGGAAATGCATAACAGTGTATTTATCTTCAAGGATTCAGCAATTAAGGCGGATTCATATACAAGGTCGTAGGATAGGAAGATAGGAAGGAAAGCCTGCCACCATCACATTATTGCGAAAAAAAAAACTCATAAAAATCACATGATCAGTAGAACCACTGGTGCATTTTGGCTGTTCAGTGTGATTTGAGCCGGTGCTCTGACCCACCTTGAACGGTGTACGTTTTGCCCGAGTTGGTGGCCCCGTACGTGAAGAGCAGACAGCTGCGGCCGTTGACAAACTCGGACACATGTTTGAGCGTGGTCTGCCGAAACAGACGCCGCTGGTCCGTGTCGGGACCGAAAATGTGCGAGAACGTGTACCTGGCGGGGTAGATGGGACGCCGTGAGTCATTCTACCCGTCCGTCCGCCGACACAGAACATTCCAAACGGAGCAAATACCGACAAAATACGCGAATAGCACAAATCCTTTAGGCGGTACGGTAGTTCGATCATTGAATCCGCAGCAAACCCAAATATTGAAATACGAACATATCATACTCATCCAACATAGCCTTCCGATAAGCCACCAAGCATCTTAGCATTTACGATGAAAATATTTCAGATCCCATAGGTACCTACGTCTTGCAGTCAATCTTACCTAACTGATCGTCCGAATTCAAACATGCAACATCTACATGAGCCTTACCTGTGAGTTAGTTTCCCGTTGTTGTTGACACCGTTTTTGTACGTAGCCGAGTCCTTCGGGGCGTGCATCAACAGGTGGATGTCGCTGGATCGTTCCAGGACCGATTTGCGCTGAAAATGACAAAACACGGGGGTCAACATTCAGACATATCAACCCCATCACATTATTCACAACACACAAAGGAAACATAATTAACTCAAACCTTCGGTGATCAAATCAGCTAAACAGACGACGTGGCAGCCAGTGATGACGTGCTAGACTATCCTGATCCCAAGCCGGACTTCTGAGTATAATCCGGATCAATTTCCACCGGTCGGCGGCAGGCACTGACCTCCTCCGGCGGCAGGTCACCGAAGTCGCCGTCCAGCTGCGGCCGCACGCGCAGGAAGACGCGCAGGCCGCCACCGCCGGCCACCAGGTCATCTCCGCGCTGCTCCACCAGCTCCTCCGTGATGTCACGCTGCGGCGGCGCCAGGCCCGGCAGAGCCACTGACGAGGCGCGCGCACGGCCCAGCAGGTAGCCCGACTCGCGCGCCTGCAGGTAGGACACGTCGACCGGCGCCGGGTGCGCGAACGCCATGGCGCCTGCCAGCAGGTCACGACAGGTCAGAAGTCACAAACGAATTTAAAGCTCAAGCTGGGCTAGCATCAAATCCCTTCAGTTTCCTTGGGATTTCAGTTCACATCATATTGTTGACCTCATAGCAAATGCGTTTGGAGTGGTACACTGCCGGCCCCACATTCCCAAATAAGCATTGGTGAGTCAGAACCAAAATAAATAAAACCAAAATAAAAATAACTTTAGGCCTGATCTAAACTCTAAAGTTACTGTTAGCGATGAACAAAGGATATCAACTGAATTCATGGCAGATATCATACCAAAACCAACAAAGTGTTAAAAGAGCACCTCATGGTGCAGTGGTCAAAAGCCATAATTCTTGTGAGAACCCCCAGAGAAAGCACTTACACAGATGAAATATTTAACTAGTCTGCAACCACTCACATTAACCTTTGCAAGGCGGGGGGTGGTTGGACAATGGACTTCATTTTTTTTTCAGATAAGAGAATGGTGGCAACTGGCATTTCTTGAAAAATAGTCCCATGGAGTGCAACATCTTTTTGCACACTAAGACCTGTTCATGCTATTGTCCCAAACGTCCTCAATTTGGGTGGGAAACGACATCCAAATGAAAACAATTTTCCACTCCCACTTCAAATTTCCAAGAGCAATTCTAAACTCCCATCTTTATCAAGAAAGAAATCTCAATCTGCAATTATGGTCTCAAACATTATATTTGTGCATACATTAAACACTACATCTTACCACATTTGTGTGGAATTTTTGCTACCTTTTAATCCCTTAACGCTGCATTCTATCCACAACTGTCTTTAGCCTTATCTGACTGGCGATTTTCCACTCTCACCCCATTTAATGAATAATTTTCCCCTCTGACAGTTGACACCCAACCAAGAAATAAGAATACAATTTTAGGAGACTGGACTTCATGCATCTTTTCTGCATGTTAAATTTTCAGACCAAGGCAGCCCAAGGTCATGTCACTAGGTCACATAAGTGAACTAACCTCAAAAGGTTAGAATACAGACCATGCATTGCTACAAGGAACCTATGCCACCAGCCAACTCAACTTCCTGAAGCCAGTTTTACCAACAGAAAAATAGCCACCTGCCAGTATTTTTTTGCTTGACTGAGACCGCTTCACATACGGAGCGTATGCCCTATCCACTTAAAGGGACCCTCTCACCTTCAAAAAAGTTTATAAATTGGCATGAAAGTGATGTCGCTCGGTTCAGAAAGAGCGAAAACGAATATCTACCAAATTTCACCGAAAAATATTCACCGGTTTTCAAGATATTAGACTTTTACTTTTGTTTACTTTCTTGGGATCTCCGCTGTTTCTAGCGACTTTATTTTAGAAGTGCGGCGTTTGCGGCAGATGTTGCGCGCAAATAGCATATACCACCGCGTGCTACAAAACGTTTTAGTCAAACATTTAAAATCGTTAGATATCTGCGCTGACGTCACACATTCAGAGGGGTATTCCTAAGCATTAGCCCCTCTGAATCAAAATGCTGCAATTTTGAAATTCAATATTTCTGATTTAAGGCATTTCTCGATGTTGTGAGTGCCGAAACCGGTAATTGTGAGCCAGGGACCCTATTTTGGCTATCTCAACTCAAATCTAATGTTAAGGTGGGAGGGTCCCTTTAAGTGCCCATCGCTTTCACGCTACCTATGTGAAGCGATCTTAAGCAAAAAAATCTGGCAGGCGGCTATTTTTCTGTTGGTAAAACTGACCTCTGGTCATAAGTTGAAGTCTCAACTCTGTCTCTTCAGTTCACTCTGATCTCAGGTCAAACCCAGATAGCTGTGGTTCTAGGCACATATCAAACTCATATCAAAAACATGAGAACAAATATCAGCAATAAGTATTTTAATCATTTATCGAAATAATTCAAAATAATTAAAATGCAAACAAATTCATCATAGCAGGTTGAGATATAGATCAATTCAAAAAAACAATAGGACACCCAGCATGACCACCTGTAGCTGCTGATATGCTGTCTGAAAAAAATCTGCACTTTCAGCTGTGGCTAAAATTTGTGTTATTTTCCACATTAAATTATATTTACCTTATACTTACATCCAGTACACCACAATCGTATCCAACGCGCCCACACGCGTGCTTCCGATTTGAATGTTTGGAAAACAAGTCATCGACCAATCAGAGGATGAGACTTCACCAGCATTTTTCTTCGTTACCGTGCCCCACTAAAAAAGGTATGTCCGCGAAATAGGCGTCAGCTACGGATTGGTATTCGGCATTAGGAAGCAAGGAACACTATATAATCAGACTTATTTTGAGTCAGTTCTCCCTTTTCTTTTTATTCAACCGAAAGTGATTATCAAAATGTAATCCACGTTTCGACATCGGTTACAATGAAAACGCATTGTAACTGACTGAAACTGTGGCATACCTAACTAGAGGGCTCCCGACTGTCCGAAGCTGCCCCATCCTCTGCCCGAGGCCGCGGGGGGGGGGGCACCCATCCCTCATATGTTTTTTTTTTGCGATAGCTCCGAACACGCCGGCGATAGAAGGGCTGAAACTTGGCATACCGGGCATACCTGACCTTTGATTCAAGCCGGATCTTTTGACACCAACCGGTTAGGTCAGGTCACTGACCTTGACGCCATAAGTGAACCTCTGCACGGTCTTCAGATGTCGCAACTTCGCAACGCCCTCGCTGCCAGAAGAGCTTTCACAGGGAAATGAAACTTGCAGGACCTAGTACCCATTAGAATTCTCATTTCTCACAACTTCTATACCTACCTATCTCGGATTTTTTCTTAACCTTCCAGGCGGTGGGGGGGCATTTTTTTGCCCCCCTTTACTTTTTTCGATATATCTCGAGAACCGCTGCGCCGATCGTCACCAAACTTTCAGTACCCTCCCGGGAGCAGCTAGCGCACATGGTGACCAAAAATTTTTCCAAAGGCTATGATAGGTTGGCCGCTAATGACGTAAGAGTGACGTCATTTTTGCCATTTTCGACCCCAAAAAAAAGGTTTCGCGGGAAGAGCTGTCAGGCCCACAGCTTTAGAGATACAGAAAAATGTTTCAGACATAAAAGGTGTGAAATCAGAAGGGCTACAAAACTGCTATTTCGGTTTTTCGAATTTTTTGGATTTTGACCCCCAAAAATAAAAAAATAGATTTTTTGAATATAATAGCCAAAAAATCCAAAAAGTTTTTTGAATTTCGAAAAAACCGGAATATATGTGATAGTCCCTACCGCCTTCTATCTACATACCAAATTTGAGATCGATACCTCTTTTTTTGGCCAAGTTATAGCGAAAAAACTGTTCAAAACTGATGACGTCAAATTTTCAAACTCAATTTTTAGCAATTCTAGACCTCGTAGCGCAAAACAAAGACCACCATTAGACTCCCCCTGACGAGCTGCATCGAATCGATACCCATTTTACGCAAAACTATCAACTTTGAAATTTGACGTTTTTTGACCTGACCTTGACCTGACCTCTATCAGAAAGTGACCTAAACCGTACCTGATGGTCTTATAACCAACACCATTGAGTTGGAAATGAAAAACTGGCCATAAAACATGCATCACATAACCTTAGTAAAGTTGGGCTCATGTGGTGACCCTTGGTGACCTTTGGTGACCTGACCTGTGACCTGACCTGGTATGACCAGTGACCTCTAATAGCAACATATGTACTAGACAACTGACGCCTTATCGCTGATTTTCGACAAAATGCGTTTTACTCGGTGTTATAGCGCTTTCCCTAGCCCGCGCACCGACGGGGGGGGGCGGATATCCGCCCCCCCTGAGGTTTTTCGCGGATAGCGGGAAAACCGCGGCGCGTAGCGCCGCGAAATTTGGTATGACTATAACCCCATCAATTTTACACATGGTGTGCAAGTTTGAACCTCCTAACTTTTAAGGTCAGGTCACCAGGTCACTTTGAATGACCCAACCTCAAGTCACTTTTTTGCAACTTTGTCACCGTGCCAGAGCTACAGCAGATGTCGGAGGCCTTTGAAAGTCGCAGGATGTTATAAGGTCATTAGTAGCTACAATTTGTATATCTCGGAATTTTGATGTCGGTGACCTAAGGTCAGGTCAATTTCGCGACCTCCCCATTATAAGTCAATGGGGGAAAAATCAACTCCCTGTTTTTACCACTAAAACGGGTCAGAATGGCCCCATATACCATACATGACTTCACATACGATCAACCTTCACTACCTTGAGGTCTGTTTTGCTGTTGGGCAGCTGTAAGGTCATGTGACGTCATCAAAGGTCACCAAAGGTTTTTTGCCAATAACTCCTTGCAGGAACAAGATACAGCCGCGCAGATGGTCTCATTGTGTTCAGCTCGTCAAGACGCATCGAATGATATACATGATGACCTCGAGGTCACGTGACCTGAGGTCAACCTTTGACCTTGACCTTTCGAGGTCAACATATATATCATTTGATGCGGATTGACGAGAGGATCACGATGATGCCCTTAGTTTGTTCCTATCTTGACTACTTCGAAAGTTATTCGAGAAAAACCCTATCCATATCTAGCGCCGCCATTTTGACTTTTTCGACCCCTGTGACGTCATCTTTGACCTGACCTGAAAATGACCTTTGTAAAAATTGTAGACCTTGTCCGTGCGTATCCGATGCCGTTTACCGCTTGTCGCTATCTTGCTTCGTTCTCGAGATCTCAGGGGGGGGCGGTCATCCGCCCCCCCCCCGTCGGTACTAAGTTGGCGCAGACCCCCGTCGGTGCGCGGGCTAGAAGCCCTGTGAACGGTGAAACATTTTATCTTTGACCTGACCTGTGACGTCATCGGTGACCCCGAGGTCAATGAAATTTGGTTTCCCTCGACAAATTTGACAGGGCTATCGAACGCCGTTTGAATTTTCCGGATCCGTCCAGTAGTTTCGGAGATACGGGGGGGGCAAAAAGTGCCCCCCCCCCCCACCGCGTGGAAGGTGGCTGGTAGGCCCACCGCCTGCCGGGTTAACCCTCGCGGGCCCGGGGGGCGTTTTTCGCCCCCCCCTCGCGAATATTTGAGATAGCTCACGAACGCTTAGGGTTAGGAAAGCGAAACTTTCAGTACCTTTTCTCCCATCAATTTGACATCTTTTGAAGTAAAAAATTTGGACCTAGCCCCCTTGATGACGTCACAAGGTCCATTTTTCTAGACCTCTGCACGGCAAACTTCGGCGTCACAGACGCAAACTTCAAATAGCTGCTAAAAATAGAGTTTTAGAGATAAAGACAAATTACGAGCACGGTTGTGTAGCGTTTGACCTAGAAAAAAATAGAAAAATAGTTTTGGTGACCTGAGGTCAGAGGTCAGGTCAACGACCCCAAAATGTGGTTTTAGTTTTTCGCAAATAACTTCGACAAAATGGTCCTAGAGCTACGGCAGTGGTACCATCGCATTCGCCTTGTCAAGCCGCGTCGAATGATATATATTTTGTTCGGAAAAGGTCAAGTTTCATGTTGACCTTATGTGACCTCGAATGACCTCTGGTTGACCTTGACACATGAAAGGTCGTTTATGATGGATTTGTACCCGCTGATCACGAATCTGGCATCTATTTTCCTCTAAGCCTTCATTTAGAGCTTCCGGATGGCAAAATTGTCTTATTTATTATTACTAGCTTGAATCAGTGAAATAGCCTCTAGCAGGGATAGGTACTCTTCTGTGACCTTGACCTTTGAGCAGCCTTGTATCGTAAGATGAACCACAAATAGGGAGCTGATAAGCCTCAAAACATTTCAAAACATCTTGGAAGTTAGCAGGCAAGATGTGCGAAAAAGTGCCAAGTTTGAGGTCAATTTTGAGCGTGACCTTGACCTTGACCTTTGCTTTGGAGCACATTTTCGGAATCCTCAGATTCTCTTCTTTCGTTTGACACCCAATTTTGCCGGTTTGATGCAGTCTGCCGTCCTCTAGGAGGCTTGCTTTGAGATCACTACACATGTGCCGGTTTTTGCCTTTGACCTTGACCTCTGACCTTGAAAATTGACCTGAGGTCAAAATTTTTAGGTGCTTTAGAATCGTCTCGTAAGGACCTTTCGTTTGGTATCGCTTTTGTTTCCGTAGCTCCCTTCTTTACGGAGTTAGACAGGGGGGGGGGCGAGAAACGCCCCCCCCCCGGGCTGCGGTGGTTGGGATTACCCCCCGGGCCCGGCCGGGTTAAGGTCACATGAGGTCAGGTGTCATTTTCGTGACCTCACCATTAGGTAGGTATAAGTCAATGGGGAAAAATGAAAACTGCTATTCTGGCGCCGGGAGCGATCTCCAACTATCTCAAGCACACAGAATCGTGATTTCATGCACTCCTTGCAAGGTTCGGTGCGTCACTTTTGCAATGTTGACCTTGCGTGACGTAATTCATGACATAGGGGAAAATTGGGTATTATCGGACGGGTAACTTCAAGCCATCGTGACATGAAGGTTATCATTTTTTATGTAACTGGGAGTCAGTTAAATATATGAAGAAAGCCAAAAAACTTTGTTTTTAGAAAGTCTGCTGAAGTTCCGGTGTTGCGTTGGAGCGCAGCGATTTTTTTAAGAAAAAAAGTTAGGTACTTGGGTATTATCGGACAGCAGCAGCAAATTACGGACGGGCGTCCAAATGGATCTTAAACCCTAGCATGTGTGCGGCGTTTGCCAGCTTCTAATGTGTAGGAGGGGTCGGTTGGACCCCCCCCCCTCGCCGTTTGGCCCCTGATCGAGCTAGAGCTTTGCGGAAAAAACGAGCGTGTTGCCCGTGACGAGAAGAAGCCGATGATACCCAATTTTAAGGTCCTAGGTCATTGGTTGACCTTCCAGGTCAGGTCAATGACCCAAAGTCGGGAAAATCGGGACCTGTTAGAAAGTCGTAAAGTGTGGCTGCTAAGGGGTTTTTCGGGGTGCTGATCACGAATATCGTGTTAGTTTTGATCACAGATGATGTCGTTAAGCGTTTAGACCAGGTCGGGTCAGGTCAGGTCAGGTCAGGTCAACTGGTAGGGGTCGTGACGGGTATTCGTAGTACCTGTCATCCGCCTCTAACAGCTTCGTAACATGCTACGAAGGCACCAAAACTGTTTCGTAAATGTTCAAATGGTTGCTAAATTCGAATTCA